AATCTCTCCTCCCTCTCTCTCGATGCTCACTGCAAATTCACGTTTATATAGGCTCATTTAAGCACCAACTTTTATGCACATAGAGAGAGAGAGAGAGAGAGAGAGAGAGAGAGAGAGAGAGAGAGTTTTCAGTCCTTCGGCCATTATTTTCTTCTTCAAATCTCTCCTTTTGTATTCTCAATCTACCCTTCTTTCTCTATATTTGATTTGACGGTTGAGATTGCTTCGTCGTTTAATCGTGCGACGGGCGATTGATTGTCAGCCTTTCTTTACGTAAGTGAACTGAAAAATTAAGTGCATTTAGCCTTTAAGCATTCCACAATTAGTCTGGTGTGTATGTGTATGCCTACACGCCTATAAGCACAAATGTGGATTCGTGTGTTTACAGCTCTCTCCTCTCTCTCTCTGCATCTCTGTAAATAGTGCGGTAAATCTGTAATTTTTCGCATGCACTGTTCATAGTTTTGGCGTGTTTATGAGATGAAATCTGGGTCAGCATTATTTTTACATTTTTATCGTTTTCCGGGTCTTATTTGAATACTTCATTTGAAGTTTCTTGGTTTTTGATTGCATGCATTGCAATTTTTTCGATTTTTACTGGGTTTTGTTAAATGTTGGGATTGACAGTGACCTCAGTCTTGGCCTTTTTTTTTTATTCATTTGCTGTGAAGTTGGTGTATTTTACCCAGAATTTTGTTACTTCAGTATGCTGTATTCTACACTGTTTCTACTGTTCAGCATCAACAAAAGGCAAATTAGGGTTTATAAAAGATGTGAGGGTTTAAATTGTCATTTTTACATGATTTGTCTGAAAATTTTGAAGAATTGGATTACTTGTTTTGGCCATTTCATATAGCTGTTCGATTGAATTTCACTGTTCAGCACAGATTTTGCTCTGTTTCAGAATTTTGTATGTCCTTTGGCATTTAATTCTATTCCTAATTATGTTCTGGTAGCATTTGTAGGGAGTTCCATCATTTTGGGGTTCACATTTGATGTTAGCCGTGGATCTTTGCTTTTGTTGTAAGTAATGAATACAAGGTAAATGGTGGTAATTTCTCAAGATTATTCTAGCTCTTGAGATTTAGTGCAAAGTTATTATATTTGGTAAAAGGATGTCAAATAGAAGTTGAAAAATCTGGCCTTTAACTTTTGTCCATTGCTATAAGATTTATTACTAACTTTTGATCTGTTCAAGTACCTCTTCGCTCCCCAGATTAGAAGAGAGGGGTATACTGTAATTAACATGGTATGGTTGGAAAGAATTTGATTGAATAGAGCGATGAAAATAATTCTTGTAATTGAAACAAATTTTTTTAAGAATAAGACTTGGAGCATTTTTCCCTAAAAGCTTAAAAGCAGCACCTCTTTTTGGCAGCTTATCCAAAATGGTGTTAGTCGTTGTTGTTATGGGCGGGATCTGTAGTTGAACATAACTAGTTCGTGCTGTTATCTATTCTATAAATTGTAGAATTGATTTGAATGCAAACACAGATTGTTGTCATATTAGCTTGTAATGGTGGTGAGTTACAAATTTAATTGTGGGGAAGAATGTCATGAGGGTAATGAAGATGCTATACCATCAACTGTCATCATAACATTATTTAGCCTCATGGACGTTCATCATGTTGGCTCAGCTAACACTGATTGTTTTGCTGTTTTTTTGACACGGGGTACTTAAAAATGAATGCAACAGTTGCCATGTGCAAATTCTTGTCTACCTCTTTAATAACTAACTGTGGTGACCTTTACATTTGACTTTAGTTTCATTACTTTATTTCTATGATACTCTATGACAATAATCAACAATCTAATTTGCTCCATCTCTTGATCTGCAGAGAGGAAACCGAATCTTGTAGATTCTATGCTATCAAACTAAATGGTCATAGGAGAGCTAGCCACAAGGATCTTACCTCTCATCAAAATGGTGACGTGAACACTTCAAATATTGAGGATGAGCTTGATCCATGGACTGCTTTGGCATACAAACCTCGTACCATTTCAATGTTACTTATTGGTGCATTTTTCCTAGTGTAAGTTACTTAACCTGTGAGTTTAGTCTCTTTCCAATCTCTATTTATAGTTTTGTGGCTCGCTTCTTGATGGAATTAGTTGATTATCTGACTTATATTATGAGGAGTTTTCCCTTCTATTTTTCTTTTATCGGAGATGTTTACTTATGTTCATTTTTTATTAGTTCTGGCATTCTAAGCATTTGAATACTGCACAATGATTATAAGAAGCTTCGTGCTGCAACGCTTAGTGAATATACTAATTCTGTATATTAAAAAATTCTACCAGATGGGCAAGTGGAGCACTTGATCCTGAACATAGTTCTTCAATTGATCTTGTTACCTCTGTGAAAAGGTGTGTGCTTGCTTATCTGTGTGCTATATTTGCATCGCTTTATGAACTTAAATTTTAAACCGTCTAACGATTGTTGTGTTTTTTTTTTTGGTAGGGGTACATGGGCAATGATTGCAGTGTTTCTTGCGTATTGTTTGTTGCAAGCTCCTTCTACGTAAGTTGTTTATACTTTCTTGTTAATGTACGATTTGGCCTTTTCATCGAAGTTTGAACTATTTTGATATTTGTAAATATCTTTGGTTCATCCTGAGGCTTTTAAGTTTATAGTTTTTGGTTTTTGTTTTTGTTATCTTTGGTTGAAGGAATTGCATCAGGATTAGAAACTTTTTGCGTGCAGAAACATGAAACTGAAAGTAGATCCATTTTCAAAACATCTAGCTTAACTACTCATCAGATGTCGAAATATGATTTCTGAAGAATTGTGAAATTGTGATGCTTGGTAATGCGATTGTAGTTATCTGATGTTTTGAGTTCTTTGGTCCATGCATGCAAAAAGATTTCGAAGAATAGCATCTGGTTTAAATGTTTTATGTCACTGCATACTCATCCAAATATGGACATCTGTTAGAGTTCAGTCTATCCGAGAATCAGAAATTAATGACACGTAGAGACTCCATTTTCAAAAAATCTAGCTTAACTACTCATCAGATGTCGAAATATGGTTTCTGAAGAATTGTGAAATTGTGATGCTTGGTAATGCGATTGTAGTTATCTGATGTTTTGAGTTCTTTGGTCCATGCATGCAAAAAGATTACGAAGAATAGCATCAGGTTTAAATGTTTATGTCACTGCATACTCATCCACTTCCAGTTAAAGGTATGTGACTTGGAACATATTACAATAAGGAAGTCATTGTCGCTCGCCACAAGGGAGCATCAAGGGTGAATAGATAAATTTATAGAAGGCCTTCATGAATATGGATGTTTGATGCTTACCTTAACTTTTATATAATGTTTATAACCTGTTGGTCTACTTGATCAAGGTTTGCTCATTTATTTGCTTACAGAGTACTAGTCAGGCCACATCCTGCAATTTGGCGTCTCGTTCATGGAATAGCCGTCGTTTACCTAGTCGTATTGACATTTTTGCTTTTTCAGGTCAGTTACTATTGTTTGCTTCGTTTTAGTACCTAATAACTACAAAGATATATTTCTTAACTGTAGTAGATTGTAACAGCATGTTCTTGCTATAAAATGTATGCCAAGTATAGTTGATAACATAAAGATTTATTATCTATATGGATATCATTTCCATATAACTGATTCTGGGATATGTTTTGAATTAATTCTTTTAGGAATTTTTATTTTAATCGTTCTTCAGTAACAATTTTTAGTCATTGATTCGTTTTTGTAGTCATTCTATTCTGACGCACGTTAATTTTTCATTCTTTCCAGAGGCGTGATGATGCTCGGCAATTTATGAAATACTTGCATCCTCATCTTGGTGTTGGTGAGTATACCATCTACTTTCTTAACAAATGCAAGTTTGTAATCATTTTTGGTCTTTAATTACTCGTAATTTCTCTGATGCAGAACTTCCTGAACGATCCTACGGTGCTGATTGCCGAATTTATGTGCCTGAAAATCCTACAAACAGGTTTAAGAATGTTTATGTATGATATCTTCTTTCGTAATATTTTATCTGGTTACTTCTGTTTTATGCAAGTTTTATTTTTGTTAACCTTTTCTTATTATATGTTGTACATTATAATCCTACCGGAGCTGAAGGAATTTGATTTATTTTGAATTTTAAGGAGACACTTTTTGATGAGTTTGTTCTGGCCCATATTCTTGGATGGTGGGGAAAAGCTATCATGATTCGCAATCAGCCTCTTTTATGGGTACTTTCAATTGGATTTGAGTTGATGGAGGTCAAACCTTAATTCCTTCTGTGTGTTCTGGTCTGTTGCTATATGTTCAGTTCCAAGAAAATGTTAAAGGTATTTTAGTTCATTAAGACGACATTTATGCTGGTGTTTTCAGCTAACCTTCCGCCACATGTTACCCAACTTCAACGAATGCTGGTGGGATAGCATTATTCTTGATATATTAATCTGCAATTGGTTTGGTAAGAATATTGAGATTTTTTCTTTTTGATTTTGTTATGAGACACAGATTGGTAGTTTGTTCCATAAACTATTTGAGTATGTTTGGTTTGCAATATTGGACATGATTCTAGTGCCTCGAGTTAAATTGAACAGTCAACTTCTGAGAGATGCTATCAACCATCTCATCTTTGCTGAGTTGCTGACCAAATAACTCTACATATTATTTACAGTGGTACCTCTGAACTCAACGCCTAAACCTCTCCCCCTATTATGATTGGAAAAGGAGTTAAAATAAGTTGCTCTGTCCACCTGCCATCATGCATCATTATTGATTTTCAATGACAAACTAGCATATTTTGGGATGACCTTTCCTGTGATTCATTTAATGTGCAACTAAGATTGAAAATAATAAATCTCGTCGATAGTACTTCCAAGCAAGGACTTGATGATTTTGAAATATCAATGAACAAATGGTTAGATAGAATAAAAGAAGGTAACATTTTATAGATCATTAGACGAAAATAACACATATATTAGAACTGAAGCTTGAAATGCTTACTGCTACATTTCCATCATGCAAGTTGAAGTTGTCGTCTGCTTCTTTATCTCAACTTAGTTTTATGAACTAATCAGAACGTTGTTATCTAGATGGTACTAGTGCCATAAAGTCCTCACGTGAAACTGGGATAATTCAACCTGGTGTCCACCATATTTTCCCAGAGCTTGTTGATACCACCTTAAGGTCTTTTCTGCATCTATATTTGTCGAAGTGTTATTTACTAATAGCCTTTAGATGGATGACCATGGAACTTTATCTCTTGCTAGTTCACTGTCAAACAATGATAATGTTATGAAAAAAAAATACTGTTTTAAGGAATAATAAGGAATGTAAAACATTTTCTTATTTTTACTCTACAGGTATTTGGGCAGGAATGCGTACTGTTCGATACTTCGATGGTAGAACTTATGAGTGGGTTGGTATAAGCCAGCAGCCAAACCTTATTGGCAAAGTATGCTTATTTTCGACATTTTCTTGTAGAATTTCTGTCTCCTTTCCTTCAATTTGCCGATATATGTTTGAATTGAATGGGGGTTATGCATCGTTAAACAAATCTTTTTGGTCTTCAAGTTTAAGGCGCTTGATATGTTTTAGATCTGTACTTTCCTCTGCCGAGATATCTTCAAATAGCTAAAGTTCTCATATGCTTTCCTACGCGAATCTCTTCAGCTTCAATGTTTATCAATTTTGCACTTTTCAAAAGTCTTCGTATTGTTATATGTTACTAAATTTTTTATAGCATTTCTCTTTTATCCTTTAGTGTCATGTGAACCTTCTTGTTCCACCACCACTTTTTTTATTAGGTGGGCTTTTACCCCTTGACTACCCTTGTATCTCCTGTGCCAAGATTCGTTCGCAGCTAGCCACCTCATTCCTCATCATATTACTGTCTCTTTCTATATCCATCTTTTATTCCTTCAAAACTCCATTTCGGTATACTGTAAGAAGATGAAAAGTGACCGATTATGATCATATATAAAGATGGTACTTATTACTTTCATTTTCAGGTCAAAAGAACATTGGGTCAGTTTACACCTGCACGGTGGGACAAAGATGAATGGCACCCTCTTCTTGGTCCATTACGATTTGTTCAAGTTCTCAGCCTTTGCATTGTTTTCTTGACTGTTGAACTCAATACGTTCTTTCTCAAGTTTTGCCTTTGGATTCCTCCTCGAAACCCCCTCATAGCATGGAGGTTGGTCTTTTGGTGGCTTATAGCTATACCAACAATTCGTGAATACAATTCTTACCTGCAGGACAGGTATTCTGTGCCTTTCTCAATTCTGATGCATGCTGTATAGATATTGGGCATTGGCATTTGCAAGATATGCTTATTATCTTCTCTTTTTCTCGCATTTTGCTTAATTAATGATGACTAATAGGAAACCGGAGAAAAAGGTGGGAACATTTTGTTGGCTTTCGCTTGGTATCTGCATTATGGAACTCCTCATTTGCATCAAGTTTGGACATGGTCTGCTTCTTATTATCTTTTGTTAATTTAGTTTCTGATATTTACGTTCTATCTGTTGATTTTGCTATACTCTTTTGTGAAAAATGTTCTCTTATTTGATCATTTTCAGGATTGTTTCCTAATCCCATGCCCAAGTGGTTGGTAATTTTTTGGTCGTCTGTTGGGATTGGCCTCGTAATATTCTTGGCTGCATGGTCGTGGCAACTGCAAAGGGTGGTGTATAAAAAATGGCGATAAGTGCATTTTTGTGGTTGAGATATTCTTTAGATACCTACATTGTGCCAACCAGTCTTGCTGTAAATCCACATCACAATTGTAGTTACAAATGTTTACTCCCCTAGGTTAGACATCACAACTGATTCATGTGGAGTACCTCGATTCTTCTATACTAGGTGTAGTAAAGGTCGATTTTTTTCTCAATTGGAGCATAGCTTGTTGAAACTTGAAAGCAATCTCCTTTATCTTCAGTACTGTTCTTTTTCCCCGCAGCGCACCCCCCTCCCTTTTTCTCTTTCTTATTTCCAATTGTAATTCTATTGTGTTGGCGAGTTTCAGATTATGTTGAGCAGTTACCTTGAATTATATATGCTTATGAGCAATATGATAGTGCCAGATTCATTTTTTCGGATAATGTTTTGTTGTTCATGACAAGATTCTGGCATTTGACATATGACTAAAATTAGTACAAGTGAAGTATACTTATCATGCATAGGACAGTTACTCGTGTGGTACAAAATACTTTTCTGTATAATCGGCAAGGGAAAGAAACTAAATCTCGACTGCCCTTTCAATGTCTTGATTATGTTGTTTCTTTGCTGTATATCTTTTCCAATTCTCCAACCACTTGGGTTCATCCTTTATGGCTATGGCATAGCATTGGCCAGAAGGACCAGAAGCAACATATCTTCTATTGATACATGGACAACTGTTTGGACCAATGAACTTGTGTTGTTCGTTTTAAAGGGTTAAGCTATGGCATTAAGCCCGTCCAAGAGGTAAATCAATATATCTAGTGACACTGTGAGTTCGAGTTGTGCATGCAAGTAAGATTCGACAATGGAGGGCAAGTCAGGGCCTAAGTCTCTCTGCCTCAGTTGTGACTACCACTTACAACTGGCTAAAGGACCGGAAAATGGGAAACAAAAGTAACCTTGATGGTTGAATTCTTGCAAATTTCAGTATAATCGAAATGACATTTATGTGGAGACTATCAACTTTGTACACTTTAAACATCATAAAAAGGAAGCCATATTTGTTAATTCAAACCATACAAGAATAGATCGGTGGGATCTCTCTCTAATAAAGCAAGATTCTCCATTTCAGGAACAAGATTAATTGTACCTATTCAACCTAGTTCAGATTCTAACTGTTTCAACGAACCCCTCAAACTAGTGCAAGTTGTAACAAAGTCAACTGAAGAGCCTTTTAGATTTCCTAGCTCTAAATCTGTTCAAAAGTAATGCTGTAAATCTTCTCCAAAGCAACCTTAATTGCAGAAACTTCTTTGGGTGGATAAAGGCATGCCCCCAGCTCATCAACTTGCACTCCGATTCCCTGAGAGAGCATCAAAAGTTTTTCTAACAAATCTGTCTGAGATAGATTAACCATCTACACTCCCCTGCTTAAGCAAGCCTGTAATTGAGCGAATCAGTTCCTTAATAAATGCGACTGTTTCAGACACAACGCTAGTAGAGAGTAGGGCCGGCCCTGTGATGAGGCGAG